AGATTGGTTGCTGCTGAAGCAGCTGCAGGCATCTGTGGGCTGTGTTGCTGTTTCTCTGGTTATATTAGCAGACACTGCCTACCTACTAAAGCCCTGGCTCATGAAACCTTATGGACATAATATTACAGACCTGCAGAAGCTGCTTTCCCACTACAATCTGAGCAGCTGCAGGATAGCTGTCAAATGCTCCTTTGGCCGACTGAAAGGACGTTGGAGGGTGCTTACATGCCAACTCGAGCAGGAGCCAGAAAATAAAATGGCCTTTGTAGTAGCATCCTGTGTGCTCCACAACAGTGAGACCTGCAGAGAGGTTTTCAGTAGAGGTGCACCAATACATTGGTCTGATATCAGATTAGTACTGATATGAAGAAAATTGTTTCTATTGGATATTGGCCCTATGGGGCTGATCATTTGGCCAATAAATGTCCATGCTGCATGCGGCCATAGCGTAGCATGGAGCAGAGCTGGTAGCATGGAAAGCTGCCTCCAGCTGGTAAGTCAGATGGGGAGTGGGGGGGGCAGATCAACACCCCTCATAGTGAGAGATGGGGCAGGGGCAAGCACTGCCCAGCTGGGGCAGGGAGGGATGTGGGACAGAGGCATGGCTTGTGGGGTGGAGGTGGCTCCTGCCCAGGAAGGTGGGGGGGTATGTGACCCCCAGATCTGCATGGCACAGGGTGGGTGGCTGCTGCAGGGTGGAGCTGAAGCTGCTGCTGTGCAGGGCCCTTTTCACTGGGGGATGGGCTCAGAAAAGGATCTAACAGTGCTGGGAGGAGAAGCACCCACCCTAAATTTCACTGCACTCCGCTCCCAGCCCTGAGCTGCTGCCCACTGTCTGCCACCTGGCACAGCCCTCAGCTGAACACTCCACCTCCACCCAAGCACCGGGAAAATCCACACAGGGCGGTGGCATGGGGCTGGGAGCAGAGCTGTGGCAAAATTTGGGGTGGCTTAAGCCTCCTCCCAGCACTGCCAGAGCCTGCTCCAAGCCCAGCCCCTGACAAGAAAAGCCCCACGCAGTGTCGGCTTCAGCTCCACCCTGCAGATGCTGCCCACCCCATGCCATCCAGATCCAGGGGCACATGTCCTCTTCTCTCTGCCCTCTCAGGGTGCAAGCAGCAGTGGGAGCTGCCCCCACCCCAAGAGCCATGCCTCTGTTTCACACCTCACCCCTGCTACCCTAGGCAGTGCCTGCCCCTGCCCCCTCCCTCACCACAGGGGGCATTGATCTACCCCCCACACCTCTTCCCTCCCCCCACCCTTCCACCACATCAGACTTACCAGCTGGAGGCAGCTGTATCAGATTTCAGATCGGTATTGGCCAATATGCCTCCTTAAATATCAGCTATCAGTATTGGACCCCAAAATCTCTATCGGTGCACCCCTAGTTTTCAGGGAGTCATGGGCTAAAGAACTGTGACAGGAGGTGGCCAGACAGAGATGTGGCCAGGCAGCACAGGGACCAAGGAGATATCCACAAGGAGAAGCTGGTTGAGCAGCACTTACGCGACACTCCCTGGCAGCACATATTGCTGACAGCAACTAGCAGTGCTCTTTCTTTTCAGTACAATAAATTCTTTTACAATTTACAACTAAACATGTGTGTCTGCTGCAGGGGTGTGCAGGGTAGTGGATGGGTAGTGGAGGGGATGGGGGACAAGGTGGATTGGGGTAGGGGGTTGCTGCTTGGAGGCTGGCATTGTTTGGGTGGACGGGCTCATTACACACGAGCACCTACTGTCCTGGGGGTGGGAATGGGAGGCAGATAGGAGGTGACTGAACATCCTGAAGTGGGGTGGGGGGCGTATTACACCCCAAGCCCAACAACAACTCACCATTTCAAAAAAAATTTCACAACACCTCTCCAAAAGACATTTGCAGCACCATTGACATGTCCCCATGGAAACTGTTCCAAGCCCTGGCAGCTTGAGAATGCTTGGAAATGTAGTCCAAGGCCAGAAAGGCTTGCCTTCCACTATCAGATGCAATTTTACCCAACTGGGGTGGCAACAGCCACCCACCCACCTGCTAGTCTCAGCCCCATACACTTAGAAAACTCACCACCTCCCCCCACCACCGCCACTGCTGGCTTCTTTGGCAGCTCGCTATCCCATCTGCCCCTGCCCCTGATGCCAGCTTCTTCAGCCACTGGCTCCCCTTCCTCCTGCCACCACCCTCCCCACCACCGCTGCCACCGCTATCAGCTTCTTTGCATCAGGGAGCCCCAAAACTATATCTTGCAGGGGACCCCCAAAATTGTAGGCTGGCCCTGACCATGGGTGTCTCTGGCCCAAGTGACAGGGTTTTGGGGTGGGGAGGCTATGCTCAATGGATTAGCAGGAGATTCCCAGCAGGGCAGGGGGAAGGGGCAGGGGCAGGGGCAGGGGGTGGGGACAGTAGAGGCTGGTTTACATGTGCCTCCTGCTGTAATTCATCAGGAAAGACAATACTGGGGGGTAGATTGGCATTCAGCTACCCCTGCTGAAATCTGTGGGGAATGACACACAAGACTTAACTCACCCAAAGGGGTATGTCATGCAAACACAAACACGCTGTACCACAATAACTCGGGTCAAAATTTTTCAGGCATAGGAAATTAATGAGGATCAAATGACATGTTGTGTACAAATGCCCTTAGGTTTGCTGGAGATCAAATGTACCTTACCTGGAGCCCTGTTTTAAAGGAGAATTGTTAAACAACGGGATGAAATACTTGACTGAGGTTGAAGCAGTTAGTAAGCTAGCAAGGGCTGACAGAGTTTACAGAGGAACTAGAATGTGGTTGTTTGATTTGGAGATCATGATTTAAGTAATACTTCTTAATTGCACAACAGTTAGAGTTTGACCCTGACTGAGCAATTAGATTGCAGCACTTCCAGTTGCTAAGTCCATGTGTTCAAAGTTACCTAAAGGGATCTCTCCCTGATTGGTAACAAATGTTGCAAAATAACACTTTTTGTCACTTCAGTGACACTGATTTAATGAGAAATGTAAAT